GGGAGAACAGAGTTCTGATCCTTGCCAGGTTTCCCTGTGGTCTGAAGGAAGACTTTGAGCATTTCCAAGTGTCCATCAAGTGGCCTCATCATTCCTGATGCTCACAGCCTTGGGATTGATAGTCCTGGCAGAATTAGCAGACATCCTAGAATGCCCTCAGTAGCTGAGCTGAAATTCAATCTCATCTTTACAGACACCTGCAGGGAGCAGATCCTGAGCTTCAGTGGGACCTGGGGGTCCCTGCCTGCACATCCCCTGGGCCAAAAGGAGGGAAAAGTCATGAAGTTTCAGCTCAAATGCAAGCAATTTATAATCTGTAATCCAACTAGAGGCAAATTTTAATGTGCTACCAGAGTTTTTATAATGCAGAGAAACATCCCTTGGAGTCCAGCACACACACCAGACCTAAGTGACCAGAGATGGGGCCTCTCATGGCTGGTTTCACTGCCAGCTCTTTGGCTGCTGGGAAGCTTTGGGTTGTTTGGAACACACAGTTGCCTTTAGACAGTTTATGAAGTGAATTAAATCAACAGAAATGACGTGGCACCAACCAGGAGTCTGCTGCCAGAGCCTGGAGGAAGCTCAGCCAGTTCCTGGTTACTCATTCCTGAAAAAAACCCGAGCTCTGCTGCTCAGCCCCAGCTCTGCCTCACCCCTCCTGTTCTTCGTGCTGTGTCACATCTCCCTGACCATTCCCACCACTCCCCAGCTCCTGACCCAAGCATTCCTAAATTCCCTGACTCCTGTCTCAGCTTCCCCCCTGGCAGGCAGCACAGGGCAGCACAAAGGTGGGCTCCACAGACTCCTCTGCTTACAAAACCAGGTACAAAACTGAACAGGTGACTCCAGGACACGTTCTTAAAAAGACAAAAAACCCAAACCAAACCCAAACACAACAAAAGGACCTCCTCTCTCTCCTGCTCCAGCTTCATTCTCCACTTTCTCCTCCTTCACCAGCAACAACACAGAATCACAGAGTCTCAGGGGTTGGAAAGCCCCTCAGATCATCTCGTCCAGCCCCCCTGGCAGAGCAGGATCCCCTGCCAAAAGGGCTCACGCAGCCAAATGAGAACCTGGGGACCCTCTGGGGCTCTCGCAGCCGGGAGGGCTGATGCTGGGGGGAGTGACCCGCTCCAAAAGCCTGTCCTTATTTCTCCCACCCCGTTCTCCCTCCCTCGCCCTGGGAACCCCGAGCTGTGCTGCTCGGATCCCTGTTCTCCAGGACAGGTGAGCGGGGCAGAACAACCGGGCATGGGAAGCTGGAGGGGCAATTAGGGAGGGAGGAGGGACCCTCCCCGGTAGGAACTGCCCCGCTGGGGGGCGGGCAGGGGAGGGAGAGGGCAGGGAAGAGAAAAGCCTTT